GCCCAAGGGGAGGGTCAGCTTGCCTTCCTCTTCCATTCTTTACAACAGACTTGCCCGAGACATTATTATGAGGCGTAACGATGCAGTTGGGAGTTAGAAATCATTCTAACTAGTTGGGAGAACTGCTGTGAGAGGATTTCAGACTGCGGTAGAGACTTTATTGTAAAGGTGAGGAGGATGTTGCATGACGGTGGAGAACGTTACTCTTCACTCTCTTTAATCCAGGCTGTCCAAGCGGAGGATAGCAATTTAGCCATTAGCTACCTTGACAAGTTAGGCTATTATTGCTAATCTGTGCTTTTCAACTGGGGTGACCGGACCAGAAAGATATTAAATGCTAATGCTGAAGATGCAAAGTGAGTAAGCGGCAGAACTGGGAATTGGATGTCGTCCTGCTGACGATGCTGTCACTCTGATCATGTTCAAGTCATAAAACATATTTTCTCCGTAATGTGCTGCTGGGTTACAGGTCGGAACATCGTGAGGGGTGTTGCAGCTGGCTCTGGTGGCTTGGGGGGAAGTGTTGCTGCAGGATAACGGGGGCAAAATCGGACATGGCAAACCGTGCTGGAATTCGGTATTGAGTGAGAGGTTGTACGTGTTCCTGCCTGAGCAGTGAGGAAGTCAAAGTGGCGTAGCAGGGATGGCAGTGTGTGACGGGTCTGCCGGTAATTTATTCTTGAGTTCAACTCATTAAACTTCCTACTGCGTTTCCAGATTTCTCCGTGACTATGATGAGCTGTTTCCTGTTGAGGATGATGTCAGTCTGCTTCAGCAAGCATCCTCCACGCTGTATCCTTCGCTGTCACCTTGGGGTTTTGCAGACCTGGCTGCTCCTAGATTCCTTCATGCCAATGGCATTTCCAGTGTTGCTGCCTCTGGTTAAGCTGCACGACTGGCAGCGAGTGATGGAAAGTTTTCTCTTCGAAAAAGAAAGGGGGGAATGTTAATGTAGGCACAGGCTTGGGAGTCATTGAAAATTGCATAGCTGCTTCAAGGTGAGGTCTGAATCTGCGTCTAGAAATGCCATAGAATCATAGAATGGTTTGGGTTGGAAGGGACCTTGAAGACCACCCAATTCCACCCCCTGCCCTGGGCAGGGCCACCTCCCCCCAGCCCAGGTTGCTCCAAGCCCCGTCCAACCTGGCCTTGAACACCTCCAGGGATGGGGCAGCCACAGCTCCTCGGGGCAACCTGCCCCAGGGGCTCACCGCCCTCAGAGTGAAAAATTTCTTCCTAATATTTAATGTAAATCAACCTTCTTCCAGCTTAATGTCCTTAATGCTGTCCTCTTAGAGATGAGACCAGGACAGCCTATATCCTCCAAGCGGTGGAAAGTGCATGGGAAGGGGTAGACAGGAAAAAAGCACAAGTCGTTAAAGATCCAACGCCACCAGCAGCATCTAATGGGGCATCAGCCATAGTGGAGAGCGCTGCTGAGGACGTGGAAGAGCTCGGGGCTGCGTATGCATCAGAGGACGAGGTCAGTAGAGCGGTGTGGATCGGACTGGGTTCTGCTCTTTCTGTCCTTGCTCCATTCCTCTCTGAAGAGAGGATTGGTTTGCTCGGTTTTGGGGATTACATGAGATTTAATCTCATTTCTTACCTTTGCTAAATTTCAGTGCGACCTTGTGAAATGAGAAACAAAACTACACCTGAATCCCAGCTTTATCTTTGAGCAAATTGCTTCTAACTCCCCTCGGCTTGGCTTTCCTGTTGCTGTGGTTTATTTAAATACTGTGCTTCGTCACTGTAGTTCCTGTGCAAATGTTTTACATGCACAGCTCATACGGTATTTGAGGAAGGGGTTCACAGAGTATCCTCGCTGACTCAGGGACAGACCAAGTGAGTTGTGTGCCCCTGTCTGTGTCATGGACCTGGTGTAGTATAAACGACTGATTTCTCTTCTTTTGGCTTCGGTCTTTGTGTTTAAATTCCGATAACCCAGACTGCTCCTTTCCCTTTCTTAACGTGCGTAGCTGCCTTCCCTCAGCTGCTGTCTCTTTCCAGTAACGCCGCCGATTCTGTTTGGTGTATGTAGTGTGCCGGTGCGGCTGCGGCGCCCGTTGGCAAGGTGTCGGGGGTGGAGCTGGACTCTCTGATCTCTCAAGTGAAAGACCTGCTGCCAGACCTTGGGGAGGGCTTCATCCTGGCCTGCCTGGAGGAGTACGGTTACAACGCGGAGCAAGTGATCAACAACATTCTAGAAGATAAACTGGTGCCGTACTTGGATAAGCTGGACCGGACAATGCAGAGGTGTGGGACAACTTCGGGCACGGCTTTCGTGCCTTCTGGGGTTTTTTTGTTTGTCGGTTACCATTTAACATCATTCTTATTGAAGGTTAGACACTTGTAGAGCTCTAAGAAGTTGCACGTGCATTTTCGTGGGGTAGATAGCTGCAGTGAGAGCTTCTCATTGCCATCTGCCACTAGCTTTGTGCCCTCGTCGTGTCCCCGCAGAGGACTGGAACATTCACTGTTCAGCATTTCAGTAGAGCAGGTGCTGGGTCGGGTTTTGTGATGGGGGGACAAAAATTGTACGTCAAACACTGAAATAAGAACCATTAAAATCCCATTGTGGGGACATGGGCTTAGCCTGGGCTGGGCAATAGAATGTGTGCCTTCAACGGTTGTTTTGCTGCAGAGGACAGGGTCATAGGTGTTAAAATCCCAACTGTCCTGCAGGAAAGGGCATCTTCAAAGGAACTACTTCAGCTGAAATTCAACCTGCAGAGTCAAATTCGGTATTTGAAAGGCCACCGTTTTGCGATTGAAGATAAACCAGAGAGAGATTGGACATGGCAATTCCGATCCATTTTTATCTACCCTTTGACAAACTTGCCGGGCTTTCGCTTGCTTGTCTGGGTTGTACGTGGGATGTGGGGTTTATAGCCGGCGGTGGAATTGAGTCTGAGTTTGCCTGCAGCTGCTAGCATGTGTTTGTGCTGCAACAGCAGTTTCCGACTGAGCGTCAGGATGTGAATGTGCTGTTTGTTCACATTTCGGGGGGGGACGGGCAGACTGTCTCATTGTTGCATTAAAAAAAGGGAGGCATCTTTATCAGAAAAATGTTGTAAAGAAAGATATCTTAGTTTTGCAACAATCTTCGTGCTCTCACAGTTGGATCTGCTGACTTGGGCACAAACGGGGTGGGGTGGGCTTTTGGAAGGGTTGGGTTTTTTCTGCAAAGCCAGCAGTTACAGAAGATAGGGCTGGATTTATTTTTCTTTTTCCCTGCCTCTTGCATCTTCAAACAAAACTGTCAGTTCAATAGCAAATGCAGAATTTTGATCACTGCTGATTTTAGAAGTGAGCACAGCAGCGTTTTCAGATGCCCAGCTGAGCTAACAGCACCAACGCAATGAATGTAAAAATATTGGTCGTTTGACTTATAAGTTGAACAACTGTAAACCTGGAACCCTGAGAAAGAATTAAGAAGGAACCATAGGGAGATAAATATCCTGAAATCAACAGCGGCAAATTATTGGAATTTTTTTCAGCATGTAATTCATCATACTTTGCGTTTGGCTTTCCTGAGTCACTGTTTTGAGACCAGGCAGTCTGTTGAATATTCCATGCTGCTGTACAGTCATTCTTAAATGAACAGAAGAATTTTCTTTTTGCTTTCTGTAAGTTGCTTTCGTTTCCCCATGAAGATAAGCTTCGCAAACGCTGCCTTTTATCTCAGACCAATGCCACGTAGTGATTGTGCACGTACTCTAGCGTGGCTGTGAAATGAAGGCACAGCGACCTGTGGCCCCGTCAGCCAGCGCCACGAAGAGGAGCGTGGCATGCTGTGCCTGACTTTGAGACTGACAAAGACTAAATCAAGGTCTTGGGAAAGAGAGGACTTGGTCTTCCTCAGTTCACCTTTGGTTTTATTCTCTTTGTCTTTTTTTTTTTTTAACAGACAGCTGAAGCCAGACCCGACTCCTCTTGTCACTTCTCGCTATAATGTTTTCCAGAATGATGAGTTTGATGTTTTCAGTAGGGATTCAGTGGATGTTTCTCGGATACAAAAAGGCAAACGGTGAGTATCGTACGCCCTTAATTAACCCTGTCTGTCAGGAGGAATAAATATCTGTGAACCTGTATCTCATACAAACCTCCTGCAGGATTTGTTGGCAGGGGGCAAGGCTCATCGAAAACGTTTCCCACCTGTTTCTTCTGTTTCTCTGGGAAAGTAAAATGAAATATTATTAGGGGGTTGGTTTCAGTTAGTGTTTTTCCTAATTGGCTTTCCTCTGTATGCTGCTCGAGTTTGCTCTGCCAAGCTCGTTTGTAATGTCGGGCTCTTGCTTCTTGGTTTTTGTGTTAAACTTGTACGGAATAACAAGCCTTGAGAAGCAATTGTCTCTACGAGCCTGGGATTGTGACTCAGAACTGAGAATAAATAATGATTTGGTTTAGATCCAAGTGAAGCTTCAATATCCATCTGCTTCAAAATCTGATAACGCTCAGCGGCTTAAACTACTTTTGTTGTTCCCGCTGCCGTGAGCTTCCTGCAGAAGGGCATTTCCTTTGCTTTCTGCCTAGCTTGGCGTGTTGTGCCGGGTAGGTTAGGGCACTGTCCTGCTGGCTCCTATCGGTGTCACCGGTGTTTCCAAATACGGCCCATTTGTTTCAGATTCTTTTTACCTGCTTTCTCTAACCAGCCAAGTCTGATCTGTATGGTGGTGTGTATTTACGCGGAACGTAAATAAAAGTCTGGCTGGAGACTGAGCCGCATGACCCTGGGAGCTGCTGGTTAAGGTTTCGGTTGCAAAGCTGCATCAAACTCTCGGGAGAAAACCACTTTTGTGCCAAAGTCCAGTCAAACGACTCTTCAGCAGCGGTGCTATAGCGCCTGTATAGGCTCAGCTAGGCAAGATAATTTCTTTTCTCTCTGGCCAAGGCAATGACTTCTGAGGTGTCTGTAGCAAAGAATTCGCAGGCACAATCTCTCTCCTTTCTCCTCGCCGTGTTGCCTTGCTCAGAGTGCAGGCAGCCTTGTGCACAGGTGCGCTCGGTTATCCACCACCTCCCTAAAGTCTTGCACACGTGGGTGGCTGCTGCAGCAGCCGGCCGAGGCCAGAGAGCACTGCCTGCGTTCACAGAATCACAGAACTTCAGAGTTGGAAGGGACCTCTAGAGCTCACCCAGCCCCACTCCCCTGCTAACGCAGGACTGCCCAGAGCACATTGCTCAGGACTGCATCCAGGCGGGTCTTGAAAACCTCCAGAGAAGGGCACTCCACCCCCTCCCTGGGCAGCCTCTGCCACTGCTCTGTCACCCCAACCCTAAAGAAGTTCTTCTGTGTGTTGGAACGGAACTTCCTCTGTTCCAACTTGTGCCCATCGCCCCTCGTCCTGTCACTGGGAACCACCAAGAAGAGTCTGGCTCCATCCTCCTGCAACCCACCCTTTAGATACGTGTATGCCATAATAAGGTCTCCCCTCAGCCTTCTCCTCTCCAGGCTGAAGAGTCCCAGCGCTCTCAGCCTCTCCTCATACGGGAGATGCTCCAATCCCTCAGTCATCTTGGCTGCCCTTCGCTGGACTCGCTCCAGCAGTTCCCTGTCCCTCCTGAACTGGGGAGCCCAAAACTGGACGCAGTGCGGCCTGCATACGGAATAACCCTGCCGGGAGCTCCTGCTGCAGATCGCTGGCAGAGCTTTGGAAGTTGTAAGTCATCCCTGAGCTGGGTTGAGGGACCCTGCTCCCATGGCTTTGCCCTCCGGCTGCCGCCAGAGGGGCCCTGTCTTCTCCCCGGTGGTAACACCGCTCCTTGAGAAAGCCGTCATCTCTTCTGCTGTTCTGTCACCCGACCTCTTGGGATTATCCTCTTACTGCTGCTGTTCCTGGTGTCTCTTGGCCTCCCTCAGGCTATGTCTTCATTTCAAAACTGTTGTTCTTACAGAGAACGCTCTCTCTGCAGGACTCCAGACATGTCACGTATATTTTGAGTGGTTTTTAAAACCTGGAGGTAACTAGGTGGGATCAGCAACGCTGATCCCTCGGCCCAAAGTTGACCATATCTAGCTAAATCAAAGGGTAAGCTATAGTATGTTACTGTTTAGGATTTAATATTCAGAACTCCGTAAATATGAAGAGTGTGTTCTTTCAGCACTAAAAGCGCAACTTACTCAGTAGTCCTTTTTCCACAAGCAAGAAACCTGATGCTTTACCCACCCATCTGGGTAACAGGGTTTCCCATAGCCTAGTTTGTGATCTGCTTGTACCGATATCTTTTTTTCTTTCTCCTTCTTAAAATCTTTCCCTCGCCGAATTCCGCTTGTGTTTCGAGTGGTGTCGCAGCCTAAGCGTGATGTCGCAATAACGCTTTGAGAGCCAGATCAGGTTGGGTCCCATTGCTGCTATGTGGAGCAGCGTAAGCAGTGTGGGGCAGGGACTGTTAATGTGAAGGAGAAAGCCACGCCACGATGAGGAGACAAACAAGCATGAGGAAATGTACGTATTAGCATATACGTGACTCTCTGCTGATCCTGAAAAGTGATCTCGCCTGTCTCTGCCTGTCCAGCCGTAATTGCTAGCTGAATCTGTCTCTCGAAGTCAGAGCATGTCCTGAACACCATGGGACTTAGAGGAGTTATCCCGCTGTTCTTCCTGGAATCGGTGCCTGAAACATTTCGTTGCAGCTCTTCTGCAGTCATCCCACCAGCTCAGCAGGCAACAATTATTTCAGTCTCATGCCGAACGCCAGCAGAAGATGTTATCCCAGCCTAGGTATGTGCGAACTAACCACACGCTTTGTAGGGCATTTTGCAGCTAAATGCAGGCGTGTAACAGAGTGAGTCACATTAGAGGGGGGAACCGCATCTGTCCCTAATGGTACTTTGGTTTGAGATTCTTAATGAAAATCAGGCTGCTTAGATCACTTCCCCACTGCTTGCTAGTATGTCACAGAAGTCTATCCGTTCTTGAGTCGCTGACAGTCTGCCTTGGACGGGTTCTTTCTCTGATAATATCCAGATGTCTTGAGTCGCTGACAGTCTGCCTTGGATTCTTTCTCTGATAATATCCAGATCCCAAATAGATCACTGATGCGTGTTCCTCCTAGACTTTGAGAGCTGCAAGTTGTCCTCTGAACACTTGACAGTGGAATCCCTTGCTGCTTTGCTGTGAGCAGATCCTCTGAAAAATGGGACCTCAAAGAGTTTCTGCTTGTGCAGCTTGAGCCACGGCATCTCAGTGGCTGCTTTTTCATACCTCTGTCAAAATTCTATTTCTTGGTCTTCCCTTCTTTAAAATGACTATAATTTACTTGCCTCCTAAATTTTTTTAAAAAATTGAACACGCAGTGCTTTGAGATAGGTTGGATGAGAATCACCAGTCTACCCTGGTTTGTTCTTTTCATTCTTAGTTGCGCTTATTCTAATCCTTACTTGTTGAACTGCTAATTTTTTGGCTCTACATTTGTATTTTGCATCTCACGTTTGTAAGCTGAGGTTCCTGACTGTCGGAAGACACATGTCAGTGCGGCAGTTACTCCCAATGCAGCCCTGGTCCATGATTTGCAGCTGTGTTGGTACCGCAGTGAGACGATACTGCAGCACGGTGTTAGAGGGCACTCTGGGCCTTGCAGAGCCGTCTCGTAGACCGGAGTCTCAGCCCTAACAGCTTGCCATTCAAGATTCATGGGACTTCTTGTGTTATTTGGGTCCTGGCCAAATTTCATCTTGAGTATAATTGCATTTGGCCTCCTGTAAAAGCTTTCTTTCTGTCTTGAACGACGGTGGCAGTCTCCAATTCCTGTTCTTGTCTGCCGTGTAATCTTGCCGGGCTTCTGTTTAAAAATTACTTTGTTCCAAGCCAGGAGTGGCTGGGTTTGGTAGCCAGACAAACAGCCCTCTTATAAATCAGAGGGGAAATAGGTAAGCTGAAGCAGTGCTTGTGGAGTTTGAGATGAGACTTCTGTTGCTTCAGCTTCCGCTTACTAGCAGGAAAAAAAAAAAAGTAACATATAGAGAAGAGCTTTACACTGCCTTTGCGTGTCTGCCTCTCCGTTTCCATGCTGTGGAGTGCAGGAGGGAGAAGGACACGACCAGGAGTTTGCTGAACGACAAGCGCCTGGTTGCTGAGCAGAAGGAGCGCTACAGCCAGTACAGCGTGATTGTGGAGGAGGTTCCTGTGCAGCAGGGAGAAGCTCAGCTCTACCGGGAGGACTACGAGGACGAGTACGACGACACTTACGATGGAAACCAAGTGGGGGCAAACGATGCTGACTCAGATGATGAGCTGATCAGCAGGAGGTACGTGCTGTGGCTTCAGGGAACGGGAGGTTGATGGGAATCACCACCTAGAGTTGTCTGGCTGGCACTGACCTGTTCGGCGCTGGGTTTTGGCTCTGTTCCTCAATGAGGACGTGCATGCTTCAACCTCCCCCTTGTGCTGCTGCTGCTGCTTTTGCCGCAACATGCAGGAGGGAGATGCGGGTCTCTCTTCTCCCGTGGGTAGGGAGTGTTGCCATGGCATGCACCCAGGACATTCTCAGGCTTCCACTTTCTCTGTCTGCAGGACTCAGCCGTTTCCTCAACTAATCAACAAATCTAAGAGGGGACTTTGCCACTGTGTTGGAACTTGCTCTCAGCAGCGCTGCTGCCTATAGAAAACTACCCTGCAGCAGGGGAGAATGGGCTGTCTTGAGTAATCAGAATTGGGTGTAGCTGGGCAATGTAAAATGACTGGTTAGCAAAGGAAAAATTCAAAATTTGGGAAAGTGTACAACCGGACTTCTTCTTGCCAATCCCCTCTGAGATCTCGGAGTGCTGACCCCGGGAGTTCAGCCCTTGATGGACTGCACAGCACTCTCCGATGATGGGCAGCTGGAGACGGTTAGCGCTTAGGAAGCAAAGGGTTAGTTTGGGATCGGGGTTGTTGAATATTTATTTTAGAAATAAGAGCTAGAGATAGAAAACACTTCTTTTAAAAGCTGGTTTAACATCTCTAAAAGTGGCCTTTTAAATTCTGATGCGTGAGGAAGATGTCACCATTTCTACCCTCAAACCACAATGCATCTTTGGGACTCCTTTGTCCCTGTTTTTTTGTTTTCCCTCCCAAAGCGTGACGAGGCTTCAATTAAAATCCTTTTCGTGGTTTGCCTGTAACAGTGCGGCACTCGGGTCTTTTGCCCTATTTCAGGTGCTCGGTGCCCGCTGCTCCTGGAGAGGCGGTAGGAACAATTAGTGGATGTTACTGCTGAAAACTAGATCCATAGGTTTGAAGTAATGAAGACTTTCTGGTTTTACATTTATTTCTTTGGCAGTGGAATGGTGGATCTGAATTCCTGTAGAGTTTAAGCATATGCGCGCACACACGCGCACACACACACATATATTAAAGAAGAGCTATAGGCATGTGGTAAATTCCACCTCCGCCCCCCCAGGCCCTTTGCCGCTCTGTTTTCAGGTTGATTCATAAAGCCTGATGGATTTCTCCAAATATTTCCCCCCGGATGAAACTGGGGCACAGGAATGAAATTGGGGCTCGGTGGATAACTGCTGACCAGTCACAGTGGTTTTAGAAGCACAGCACTTTGTGAGCATTAGTGTTTCTGCCTGAGTTTGAGCTTGAGGTTTGGGGGGTTGTCTTTGTACAACAGATGCTCCCTGACTGGTGAGCTAAAGCATAGCAAAGCATCCCCCTCACCAACGCCTTGTGGCTGCGCCTGGATCCCCTTCTCCCAGAGGACCCAGCTGTTTTCCTTGGAGAAATTCCTTGTGAGGTTTCAGGTTTTTCCTGACCTGCTCCTTTTTTTAAACTATTATTACGTTCAGTAATAACTTCATAGTGAACATTCCCCAGTGAAGAACATCTGTGTTTGTTAATTGCCCATGGTAAATGTGTCATTAGCCACTGGGCCTCTTTCTTTTTTTTTTTTTTTCTTTCTTTTCAGAAAAAGAACAAGTCCATGAAATTTGTAGATTCTCATTTTTTAAAGTTACGATGCAAAACGGAAAGGAAATGCTGTTCAGTGAAATGTTTGTGCCTGTACTGTCTTCATCGCTGACTGTCTTAATTCTCAGGCCGTTCACGATTCCTCAAGTCTTGAGACCTAAAGGACAGGATGACGGACAGGAGGAGGAGGAAGAGGATGATGAAGATGAGGAGGAGGAAGCTGAAAAGGAAAGAACAAAGGTGACGTTTAGTTTGTGGTCAGAGTTGCATTAAGATTTACCGTATGTCTTGTCTGCTTCACCCGCAGAGTGATGCGGAGCAGATTTCCTCTTTCAGAGGGTGAATCTTTTAACAGTAGCACAGAGAGTGAGCTGCTTTTCAGAGTGGCTACTTCTGTGGTCTGCTGGACTGTGAAATGTCCCCCGAGTACAGCCATCCACTGCTTCCTGGGCTAACCCTACTGGAGCAATGACACTTACTCCGTGGAGAGGTTTGATCTCCTTTAGTCCGTGGAGAGGCGATGCCAGCAGAACACTTTGAGGGTCGCTAATGCTCTGTTGTCGTGGTTATACTGGAAATAGTGACGTTGATGGTGTTGCTGGCAGAGGTAGGATGTGGGAAGAAGTCTCGGGCAGGTTTTGTGTTTAGAGTCGCTGACACCAATCCTGCTGGCTCAGCCAGAAGAGAGAATGCCCAGTGAATCGACTCTGTTCCATGGTCCCACAGAATCACCTCCTGCTCTCCAGCTGTTTGCATGATGCTGATGAGTTTACTCGCCTCTTCCCTTCCTTCCCACGGCAGGACCATTTTGTGCAGGACCCGGCTGTACTGCGGGAGAGAGCTGAAGCCCGACGGCTGGCTTACCTTGCAAGGAAGGGGTAAGGAAGCATCTCCCTCTGTGGGGTGAAACCGTGGCTCTGCACTTAGCAGGTGTTTTGCTGCTGACTGGAACTGTTGAGGGTATACCCGTTCCTGTACGTCAGGGTCGCTGCCACGGTGCTGTGAACTTCCTCGCCCGACTTTTACGTCACTGCTGGTTGTTCTATCCCACCGAATGGGTAGGCATATCCCTTTATTGTAAGCAGCAGAACCCCGTGCAAGATAGGATCTTGGAGAGCACAGCTTTCTGAGCTTGGAACAGCTCCTGCAGGGATTCCAGGATGGTTTAACATCTGGCTTTAGCTGACAGACATGCTCTGTAGAAGGACGCGGTCATTGTGTGGCTGATGCTGATACTCAGCTCCTGCAGAAGCCCTGCAGAGCTGGGGCGAGCCGAGGCTCGAGGCCGGACGGCTGGACTCCTCACACCCAGTTGTTTCTCGGGATCAGTATATTTTCTGCCCCAAGTGTGCAGTGTGCGTGTTGTGATGTCCTTTTTGTGTGTTACTCCAGGCACAAGCACGACAGCTCTGCTGTTGTTGGCAACGTGAAGGGCCACGGGCAGAACCGGGAAACAGTGCAGGAACGAAGGAAGAAGGAAGCAAACAAAAGCACGAGAGCTAACCATAACCGACGAGTCATGGCTGACAGAAAGCGGAATAAAGGCATGATTCCTTCCTGAAAGACTCTTAGCGCAGGTGTTGCATCATCCCCAGTCCTCTGCTTAGGAGGAGGCGGTTGTGCTCCGTTCCCTCGGCGCTCCCTTTGCTCAGGGGACTGGATGTCGTGGTTCAATACCTGGCACTTCAGCTCCTGCGGAATTGCGCACGCCCGGTGGGAGGGCTGCCTGTCGAAGGAAAGGAGCCGCCCTCCGTGCGGCCCCTGACTGCTCTTCGGTTTCTAGAGCCCTGCGTGTGACGGCGGACTGCGCCGCGATGCGCCCGACGGGCTGCACCGGCCGTTCGTTTCCTTTTGTACTATTTGTAATTCTGAGAATTTTATTTTCATACTGGCTCCTTACGCCCTCTCCACGACTCAAACGGGCTTCCAGGCCACGCAGCGGGCAGCTCTGAGAACAAGGCTTCCCTGGAAGAGCCCTCCCAGCTTTCTGCTCCGCTGAAATGCCTTATCCTGAAGTACAACTTGAAGGGTGATAGGGAAACGCTCAGGCTCTTCCCGCATGCAGGAGTTCAGGTGAATAAGACCTTACCGTAAATTTCTGTCCCTCGAGTGAAGCGCGTGAAAAAAAGAATGTGCAAATAAATGATTTAAATCTTTTAGTTGGTGTTTTAGGCTCTTACAAACCGTATTGATCTTTAACTTGGAGGAACCTCAACAAGCCTATTAATGTGCTGTGTCTGCAGGCGGTGAAATTCAGTTGCTGTTTTGTGTCGGTTTAGTGTAATGAGATTTCGCCACAGCCACTGAGACTAACGATACTTGAAAAGCGGCATCAAGGCATCCTTAGTAAGATGACAGTGGTACGGAAATCAGAGTTGAAGGCGGCAGGGTCAGAGTCTCCCGGGGGAGCGCTGCCTCCTCGATAACCACTTGTCACACTCTGTGAAGCAGAACTGCCCCGATCATGGTGTTTCTGTTGGGAAGGCTGGGAGCTAATAGCAAACAGCAGTTTGTAGCTGCTGAAGGGACTTCTCCTGAGGGCTGTCTTTTTGTTGTGGAGGCAGGGAGACACACAAATTACAAGTTTACTGCGTAACGTGTTTGTAAGGTGCTCACATGCCGTGGTGATGGCTGCTACGCTGTGCCCAGGTGAGCCTGGAGTATCTGCCAGCAGCTGGTGATAAAACTCTTCCAGTTGCTGTTGTCACGGAGCATTAGCACGTTTTTGGAGTGCCGTCCTCGTCACGGAGACGAACTTTCAGGTTAGGCTTTGCTTGGTTAATCAGCTCTAAGTGCCACGTCCCCACCACCGCGCTGTGTTTTTTCTCGTAGTGCTGTATAAAGTAGAGGAGGCGAAGGTGCCCGTGGCTGTCACCCGCGTGCTGAGTAAATTACCCGTGGGTTGCGTAGCGATCGAGCTGCCGTTCCAGCGTAAATCTGGTGCTGCCTTCCCGCTTCCCAACGCTGCAGGAGGAGCGTGTTGGTAATAAGCTCTGTGGGCACGTACGTTGCTGCCTAGTTTTACGCAGAGGGCGGGGACTACGGGGCTGTGTGGTTAGCGCTGCCGCCAAACGCTGTTGTGCTGGGGCTGTTTTACAGAAAGTGTCGAAATGGCTGTGACCGTTATGCAAAGACGATGAAGTCCTGAGCACTCTGAGGACAAGATTTTCCTTTGCCTATCAGTACTGCCCAAACCCCCTCGTGACGAGGCATAGAGAAAAGGGAATGACATTTACCAACACCCCCAAATCCACCATCGAGGGAAATCACCTGCTGGGATAACTAACTCTCCTCCTCTATAGCTGCTGTTCTCTGGACTAACAGCTTCATTTATTCTCTGCCGGTCTGCTACAATGCTGTCTTCCCCCTTCCTCATACTGTATTCATCTTTAGTTCTTGCTTCCAAGAAGCTGCAAATCTCTATCGCCTGCTCAGCATAGCGTGAAGCTGTGGGCGCTGCAGACAGAGCTGGCAGTGAAGCAGGCGGGCTTACGCTGCGCGAGGTTATCCCAAGAAAGCTTAAACCGTTCCTCTTAAGCATCTCTATAAAAGCACAGCTGGGACTGTGAAAACTGTAGTTGTGGGTTTTGCTCAAAAAACACCAGCAGAATGGTTTGGTTTTTAAGTCCTCTTTCTGTTCTCTGAGTAAACATTTTACTCCTGACACCTATTTGCAATCCCAATAAAGCTTCTTTCATTAGCACTGGCTCTAATTTGCTCTGCCTCATCCATTGCTAAAATTCCTCCCGATTAGTGAAAATATAGAGGTGTGGCTTCTGGGCTGGTACAGTGGGAAAGCGGGAAGAGCAGGAATCACTCAGCCAGATCTTCCTACAGCCACCTGAGAGCCAAGAGCAATTAACTGTGAAGTTGCTGAGAAGAGACTTGCTCCTTCCCATTGGTCTGACAGTCAGCAGCCGGGGCAGAGGCTGGAGCCGCACGCCCAGTGCAGGGCTGGAGGCTCCTGTCCCAGCTAAGCGCCTCCTCCCTTCTCAGCTGCTCCCTTTTGGTCAGACAGGACCGAGGAGGCCTGTAGCCTGCTGCACAAGACACTTCTGCCCCTCGAGCTGCTTGAAAAGCCAGAAGGCAGAGAAATAGCTAGGAAAAGAGCTCTACATCCCATTTCAGTAGGTTTTGGATGAGCTTAAAGTTAAACACCATCCCTGTTTTCAGCCCAGCAGGCGGATGGGCACACACCAGCGCTCGCCTGATGTGGTTCAGGGGCTCAAAGGACAGATTTCTCACTGGTTAAGGCAGGGGTGGCAGCAGCATCTGCTGCAGCTCTGAAAGGACGACAGGCTGAGAACCAGCACAGTCCTGCATCAAAGACGTAAATGATTTAAAGTCAGTTTTCTTCGAACAAGACTAGCAGAAAGCAGACAGCTTCTTACCCCTCTTAAAGTCGTCATGGGGCAGAAGCCAAGGGTAGTGGCAGCAGACCCCAGCTGTATAAATGCTCAAAAAAGTCTTTCAAACCATTTTTAGGACATGATTTCTTACAGCGTCTTGAAACTAAGGTGTAGGGCCATATTTAAGTATTCTCCATCTCCTAGAGAAGGAGAAAATAAAAGCAGGCTAAAGGATTGGTCAGGTGAACACACAGGCACGAGACACGGACCAAGAATTTTTTTATTTAAACACAGTAAGTTTTAGTACAGCAGCAGAACTCCTTGAGTCCATCTTGGTTTACATCATATCAGTAGGTGGCTGATATAATCTGGCTCGGAGTTGTTCAATCAGGAATCCACTTCCATTTTGATACAACCAGTTTCAGGAGGCCGAATCCTTCTCTGCAGTGTCTTTTGCCACCCCAGGCTGGATCCTGCTGCTGAGCATTTCAATCATCACTTGTCTCATACTTGTGCTTGATGTGTTTCCATAGTTTCTGTATGCAAAACAAACAAACAAACAAAACCATAAACAGTGATCTTAGCCAGCTTTTCAGCGGTCCTGGGATAAAGTTTCACTTTAAACTGCAAGTTATCATGAAACCTACATCTGTAACTGGCAACAGCAAGAGGGGAAAGCAAGAGTTTGTACAAAAACTCATCCACAAGTACTACCAGGGTACACGACAGCATGGGTACTGTCATCCTGCGCTTCCTTGCTACATGGGGGGACATCCTGCTCCCCAACAGCTACAGTATCACCCAAAGGTTTTGGGAGAAGCAGCTGGATGGCAGCAGCAGACCATGCTCATCCTGCCCATGGAGGAGGCAGCAGATGGAGTCCTGTACCTGGGCCCACTGCTTTGGGACTAGACACTTAAAAAAAAAGAACGTCAGTGCAAAGCTGACGTTCAGATGTGATTTTATGTCAGCTTTGAACAAACAACTGTTGCTAAAAAGGAGGAGATAGGGACCCTGGTCTTGCTCTTCAGTGCATTTCCTCAGCTCATGCAAACCCTGGTGAGCTACTTCAGGGCGGTGAATATGTCACTTTGTGTGGTATCAGTTTTCAGCTGGTTTCGTGGCCTGGTTCAGAAGGCCAAAGAGCAGATATCGTGCTGTCAGGGAAGGCACAGAGCAGCTCTTTCCAGCATCAGAGCCACTCAGATGACCTAGCTGTCCTGGGAAACTGTGCCCCGGGTGCTCCGAGAGACCGGAGGCACACCAGAGCCGCAGGACAGGGAAGAGGACTGCTGTGCTGCAGAAGAGAACGTGCAACACATTAAGTTCTTTTGTACTTGGTGCAAGACAGAAATTACAGCACCTCCTGCCTTTTCTTAGGGTACACATTGCGACACCTCATCCTGTCCAGCAAGCCATTATATGTCCTGTCCATGTCACTCAGTATCCAGGCAGTTATTATCATCCTACTTTGAAATATAAAGACGACTCGACCCATCTCATCTAACGTTCACGCCCAGGACAGCAGACTCCACTGTCCTGTAGACATTCACCAGCCGTTATCCCTTCCCTCTGCTAAGGGCAGACCGTGAAAGGCAGAGGGCTAAGATCTACAGAGCGCAAAGCTCAATCCATTTCGACCTTCCTGCATGTCACCGTCTTTGACACCTGTTCCCCAGCGGCTCCGCAGCCGGAGAAGCCCGAGACCGGACTGAAGCCCTGCCTGCCAAGCGCCACCGCACCAGCAAAGCCTCCACCGACGGGGCAGCTCGTTCAACTGCGGCCCCGCGGCCGCCCTGCCCGCGGCCTCGGCGCTCGGGGCCTCCTCGGGGCAACCAAGGTCGCAGTTCAGGCGGGGGCAGCCCGAGGCGCGGGCCCCGGGGCCGGGCCCAGGCGGGGCCGG